TGAGACAGAGTCTCACTTTATCACTTTCGATAGAGTGCCGTGGCCTCACACTGCTCACAGCAGCCTCCAACTCCTGGGTTTAGACGATTCTCTTGCCTTACCTCCCGAGTAGCTGGGACTACAGCCGCCCGCCACGACACCTATTTATTTATTTATTTATTGCAGTTTTTGGCTGGGGCTGGGTTTGAACCCACCACCTCTGGCATATGGAGCTGGTACCCTAGTCCTTTGAGCTACAGGTGCCACCCACCTGGCTATTTTCTTGTTGCAGTTCTACCGGGCAGGGTTTGAACCCGCCACCCTGGGTATATGGGGCCCGTGTCCTACCCAGTGAACCACAGGCGCCATCCCACTTTTTTTTTTTTTTGAGACAGAGTTTTACTTTGTCACCCTCAGTAGAGTGCCATGGTGCTGTGGCGTCATAGCTTACAGCAACCTCAGACTCTTGGGCTCAAGTGATTTTCTTGCCTCAACCTCCTGAGTAGCGGGAACTATAGGCACCTGCCACAACTCCTGGCTATTTTTTTGTTGTTGTTGTTTAGCAGGCCTGGGCTGGGTTTGAACCCTCCAGCCCCAGTGCATGTGGCTGGCACCCTAACCACTGAGCTACGGGCATCCCCATCATAATTAATTTTAGAGTGTTTCTGTCATTCCAAGGAGAAACTTCATGCCCATTAGGAAACACGCCTCATTCTCCATTAGTCTCTCCCTCACCCTGATCTCTAGGAAACCACTAATATCTTTGTCTATCGATTTGCCTACTCTAGACATCTCATATAAATAGAATCATAGAATGTGTAGTCTTTTGTGACTAGGTTCTTTCATTTAGCATAATGCTTTCACAATTTATCCATGTCACAGTATTCGTCACTACTTCATTATTATGACCAAATACAGGTCCATAGTATGGTGATGAGTGTTTACTCATCAGTTGATGGTTGATTTCAGTTTTGTTTGGAGTGTCATGAGTAACAATGCTATGAGCAGTAGTGTGAATGTATATTAATCTCCTGTGTTTTTAAGAAGAAAAAGGAGGAGAAAAAAATACATTCATAGTCTTTTATCCTAACTCAACATTTCTACCACCTCTGGTTGTCTTTATTTTTTCCAGCGAATATGAGTTAGTATCCAGAGTCATTTCCTTGCTGTAATTTACTGTGGCTCCATTCTCTCCCTCCTCCCAGTACGACTGCACGTTGAGTATCCCTCACCTGAAATGCTTGGGACTAGAAGTGTTTGGGGTTGTTTTCAGATTTTGAAATATTTGCATTACCAGCAGAGAATCCCAAATGTGAAAATCTTCAGTTTACTTTGAAGGTCATATTAGTACTCAGAATGTCTCAGATTTTGGAGCAGTTTGGATTTCAAATTTTTAGATTTGAGGTGTTCAACCCATATAGTCATATGAATCTTTATATGTTATCAACCCATCCTCACAATTTTATAACTATTGTTATGTAGTTATTTTAAATCAGTTGAGAAGAAAAGATAAAAAATATTTGTATTCCATTTTATAATTACTTATGCAGATATGCCTTTACCAATACTTCTAAGTTTTTGTTAGGCTGCACTTTCTTTCAGACTAAAGGCTTTCCTTTACACTTTTTGTGAAGTATGCTGCTCACAGTAAATTCTCTCAGGTTTTGTTTATTTGGGAGTGTCTTTATTTTGCCTTCACTTTAGAGCAGTAGTTCTGTAAGATGGACATTTTCTCTCAGCACTTTGAACATGTCATCCTCCTGCAGATTCTGTTATAAATTTTACTGTGCTGCCCTATACCCAAGGAGTCATTTTTCACTTACTTCTTTGAAGATTTTCTTTGTCTTTCAACGCTTTGCCTAGATCTCTCTGGACTTACCGTACTTGGAGTTTACTGAACTTCTTGAGTTTCATCAAACTTAGAAAGTTTTCAACCATTAATTCTTCCAGTGTTTTTTTTCAGTCTCTTCTCCTTCTGAGATTTTGATGTTAAATTGTTGGTACACATGATAATGCCCTACAGGTTTCTGAGGCTCTCTGTTCATTTTACCACATTCTTTTTTCTTTCTCTTTCTTTCTGTTCTGCGTATTGATCTGTCTTTAAGTTCAGGGATTCTTTTTCTAAGACTACCTTAGATTTCCTGTTAAAGCCCTCTTAGTGAAGTCTTCATT